CACCTGAGTACCATGACTTCCAGGAAGTTTTCAGTAAAGACAAAGCATCATCTTTGCCACCTCACAGACCTTATGACTGCGCTATCGACCTTCTACCTGGTGCTCCGCTTCCCTCTAGCCGGCTATTCAACATCTCCAGACCAGAAAGAGAGTCCATGGAAAAGTACATCCACGAGTCACTAGCTGCAGGTATCATCCGCCCATCCTCCTCTCCAGTGGGCGCCGGCTTCTTTTTTGTGGAAAAGAAGGATAAATCACTCCGTCCATGCATTGACTACAGAGGGTTAAACGACATCACCATTAAAAACAAATATCCTTTACCCCTTATCAGCTCAGCCTTTGAACCCCTCCATGGAGCCACCGTATTCACCAAACTGGATCTCCGCAATGCCTACCACCTTGTCCGCATCAGGGAGGGGGACGAATGGAAAACGGCTTTTAATACGCCCCTAGGTCATTTTGAGTATTTGGTCATGCCGTTTGGGTTAACCAATGCCCCCGCTGTCTTTCAGAACCTGGTCAACGACGTGCTCCGTGATTTCCTGAACCAGTTTGTCTTTGTTTATCTTGATGACATACTCATTTTCTCCAAGACCCCCCAGGAACACCATGTCCACGTCCGAGCAGTCCTCCAACGCCTCCTGGAAAACCGACTTTACGTCAAAGCCGAGAAATGTGAGTTTCATGCACAATCTGTCACTTTTCTTGGCTATATACTCGCAGGAGGGCAGGTGAAGACTGATCCAGCCAAGATCCGCACGATCCTGGAGTGGCCCACGCCCACGTCACGCAAGCACCTACAACGTTTCCTCGGCTTTGCCAATTTCTACCGGAGGTTTATTCGCAACTACAGCCAGGTAGCCACTCCTCTCACTACACTCACATCCACCAAAAGACAGTTCATCTGGACACCTGAAGCTGAAGCAGCATTAAGTAGGCTCAAGCGACTATTTACCTTAGCTCCAGTATTGTGTCACCCAGATCACTCCAAGCCATTCGTTCTGGAGGTAGACGCATCCGACGTCGGCGTCGGAGCGGTCCTTTCACAGCATTCAGGTCCCAAGGCCAAGTTACATCCATGCGCCTTTTTTTCGCGTCGACTCTCGTCAGCTGAACGCAACTATGATGTAGGAGACAGAGAGTTGCTGTCTATTTAGTTAGCCCTGGAAGAGTGGCGTCACCTATTGGAAGGAGCTGAACACCCATTCACCATCTTCACAGATCATAAAAACCTTACTTACCTCAAAACGGCTAAGCGTCTAAACGCCCACCAGGCCCATTGGTCTCTGTTCTTTGATCGCTTCAAGTTTGCCATCTCTTTCCATCCAGGTTCCAAGAACACCAAGCCCGATGCCCTGTCTCGTCTTTACGACCCAGACGCTGAACCCACCGAACCAGCTCCTGCGCTTCCTACCTCCTGCTGCGTAGCGTTTTTATCCTGGGACATAGAGGAATCCATCCAGCGAGCATTACAGGATGAACTAGACCCTGGCACAGGTCCTCCGGGCCACCGCTTCGTTCCCGCAGCAACCCGTTCGGCTGTAATTAAGTGGGCTCATACCTCCCGGTTTTCCTGCCATCCTGGAATTGGCCGCACCATCGCACTACTACGTCGTCACTTCTGGTGGGCAACTCTGGAACATGATGTGCGGGAATACGTCTCTGCCTGTGACGTGTGCGCCAGGAACAAGACCCGAAATCAGCGACCCTCCGGTCTTCTACAACCTCTGGCCGTACCTTCTCGTCCTTGGTCCCACATTTCCCTGGACTTTGTCACTGGACTGCCTAGGTCAGCAGGTAAAACAGTAATACTCTGTGATCGACAGGTTTTCTAAAGCAGCTCACTTCATTGCCCTGGAGAAACTACCCACTGCCAAGGAAACTGCAAGACTGATGGTTGACCACGTCTTCAAACTCCACGGGATTCCTGTCGAGGTCACTTCTGACAGGGGACCTCAATTTACATCCCAGGTTTGGAAATCTTTCTGCTCTGCCCTAGGTGCACAAGCCAACCTCAGTTCTGGTTACCACCCTCAAACCAATGGACAGACTGAGAGGCTCAACCAAGAACTAGAGTCCATGCTCCGCTGCATGGTTTCCCATAACCCGGCTACTTGGTCAGCACATCTCCCATGGGTAGAGTATGCGCACAATTCACATGTTTCTGCATCCACTGGTCTCTCTCCATTTGAAGTGTCCCTAGGCTATCAGCTCCCCCTCTTCCCTGAGGAAGAGGCTGATTTGGCTGTGCCTTCCATCCAGCACCATCTCCAGCGCTGCCGCCGGGTCTGGACTCGGACTCAGGAGGCACTGAAGAAAGCTGCTGCCCGCCACTGCCGCTATGCAGATCGTCTACGATCTCCAGCTCCTCAGTACACTCCAGGGCAGAAGGTGTGGCTGTCGGCTAAAGATGTTCCCCTTAAGGTTTCCTCCCGCAAGCTGGCTCCTCGGTTTATTGGGCCGTATGTCATCCACTCGGTCATCTCGCCCTCTGCTGTGAAGCTCGAGCTTCCTCCCAGTCTGCGGATTCACCCGGTTTTTCATGTTTCCCAAGTCAGACCGTGCTGTCCAGTGTGCTGTGCCTGCCTTCCGACCCCCCCTCCGCCCGCCCGGCTCATCGATGGTCATCCGGCCTATACGGTTCGGGGATCGTTGACGTCCGCCGCCGTGGTCGGGGTCGCCAGTTTTTGGTGGACTGGGAGGGGTATGGGCCTGAGGAACGTGCCTGGGTTCCTCGCTCGTTTATCCTTGATCCTGCTCTTGTCTCTGATTTTTTCAGGTCGCGTCGCGGGCTGGGGACCGGTCGGCCGCCGGGTGGCGTCCCTTGAGGGGGGGGTACTGTCATGGTCTACGGTGGGTGGCTGGAATTTCCATAGGCTCCTGAACTGACCTGGGATCCGCCCCTGGGCAGGGCCAACTCCAGCTCCTGCACACCTGGAGCCTATTGCAGGCAATCAAGCCAGAGGGATTTAAACCACACTATCGATGTTCACCACTGCCAGTTCGTCATCAACCCATGTTGGTAACAGGTCTTGTGCTTCAATTCTGCTGTGATTATCTTACTAACAAGACTCTTTTGTCTACAGTTGCTGTACCACCTTGGCTCACACTCCACCTCCGGACTCGGGATACCTAGTGATCATTCTGGAAATCCCTCTGTGCCTCACCTGCCTGCCCTCCTGCCATCACACTCCATCTGAGAGCCCCGGATCTCAGGCAGCCTTTCCACGCCACTCAGCCTCCCCTGGATCTTCATCACCCCCCTCTCAAACACTCCAGGTCCCTAACTGCAAGTAAGAATTGCTGCTCTTAATACTGGCCACTTCGAGCTGCCTTCACTACCTGCCTAACTCCTATATCCTCTTCCCTCAGTGTGACTGTTCCCCACTCAGCTCCGTTCCGCTTCTCAGGCCTCATTCCCTCGCCCTAGCCACGTTCCCCATGGCCACGCCACACCAAGACTCCACGTCTCGTATTTTCTGTCTTTGCCACGTTTCTTTTTTTTCCCTTTGCACTTAACCTAATAAATTGTTAATCATCTACTGTCTCCGCTCTGGGTTTCTGCACCTGAGTCCTGATTCAGTACCGGCCATCCGTCGCCGTGACAAGCGGCAGAAATGAGCTTCCTCCGAAGGGTGGCTGGCCTCTCCCTTAGAGATAGGGTGAGAAGTTCGGCCATCCGGGAGGGGCTCAGAGTAGAGCCGCTGCTGCTCCACATCGAAAGGAGCCAGCTGAGGTGGTTCGGGCATCTGACAAGGATGCCCCCTGGGCGCCTCCTGGGTGAGGTGTTCCAGGCATGTCCCACCGGGAGGAGGCCCCGGGGCAGACCCAGGACACGCTGGAGAGATTATATCTCTCGGCTGGCCTGGGAACGCCTTGGTGTTCCCCCGGATAAGCTGGAGGAGGTGGCTGGGGAGAGGGAGGTCTGGGCCTCTTTGCTTAGGCTGCTGCCCCCGCGACCCGGCCTCGGATAAAGCGGATGAGATGGATGGATGGATGGATGGATGGATGGATGGATGGATGGAACCTAACCCCACTAACTGCATGTTTTTACACTGTGGAAGGAAGACAGAGAACCCAGAGAGAACTGACACAGACACGTGGAGAACATGCAAACCCCGCAAAGAAAGGCATCGGCCAGATGGTGGATTCAAACCCAGAAAGGTTCTTGCTATGAGGCTAACCATGGTGTCTCTGCCTGACATGTAGAAGTGGTCAAGATGAGGTTCAAACCAGAATGGTTGTTGGTGCCAGACATGCTGGTCTGAGTACTTGAAGAACTGCTGATTAACTAGGATTTTCCCACATACAGATCTAAAGAGCAATTTCAGCAGCATGTCTCAGTTTTTCTATCTGCTAATTGTGTAAAATTACATAAAATGTTCTGTTGCTCATTGCCCAGACTGTCATGTATAAGTTTTTGTCAGAAAAAAATTGTTGATGTCAGAAGTCAGAGGAGAATAACCAGACTGCTTCAATCTGATAGGAAGGGAACAGCAGCTCAAATAACAACTCACCGGAACCAAGGTCTACAGAAGAGCATCTCTGAACACACCACAGACTGAACCTTGAAGCAGTCTGTGGTGAGGATGAGGGGGCTACAGCAGCAGAAGACCGCAATGGGTCCCACTCCTGAGAAAAGGAAGCGGAGATAGTCAGGCGGTTCTGAAAATGTTGTAAGGGCTGTTAGGGAAGATCAAATGTTATAACATATGTGAAACTATATACTTTAGGCATCTAAGTAGCAATCGTTTTGTGGTAGTAATAGTAGAAGTAGTAGTTTTTATGTCAGGACTGTAAACACGTTTTTTAAAGGCCGCATAGACAAGAAATTTGGAATCAGATACTGTCATAAAATATGAAATGAAATAAATAAAGTGCAACTCAGTTCGCGGTTATCAAACAAAAGTCAATCAACGCTCGCAGAGGACCGTTATTTTATTTTGAAGTTTACCTGGCAACAGCTGAGGTAATACTTTGATTTTTTTTCTGCTTGAATTCAAGTACACCCCCTCATCCTCAGGACAAGAGGATGGACGCTCTAACATACACCGCTCCGCCACAGATCCGCCGTTCAGTTTGTTTACAGGAGGATGAATGAAGAGGCTGGTGGTGCAGCAGCGTGCGGACGCGCAGCGTGCTACCGGCTGTGCTCGTGTCGCTAGTATAATTATTATTATTATTAACAGTGTGTTACTGGTTTGACTGGCAGACGACACACTGGAAAAGCACCGAGGCAAGACAAAAACCCGACTTTCCAGCATCCGTAAGCCTTCAGAGATCATCTGTGTTAGTGTCCGGTGTTTGATTCATCTGCATTACAGCGCCATTCGCGTTTCCGTCATACATATTTACATCTCGTCTTTCTGTTTATGTATTTCACGGCAGTGTTGATATTTTTTCCTATGGCCTGTGACGATGACAGTGACGCGAAAGCTGCCTATGTATCGCCAGCTGACAGATCCATATACTATGATTTATGTGTTTTTCTTCGCTTATATAACAGCCTATATGCGACTTTATGGCTTTACAGCAGCGCTCTCCACCTACATGATCTGAGGGGGGGGCTAAATAAGTTAAACAGGACGGTATAAAGAGCCCGAAGGCCTGACTGCGAACGGCTAATTCAGTGTCTGACAATCAGTGAAACCGAGAATTTATTTACATGCAATTTGAGGAAGACTTGATTTTGCAATACGTAGACAGATAGAAAAACACACATTTCAATAACTTCTCTCATCTCTCTCCTGTAGATTTGAACACGGTCTCCCTGGTCTACTTAATAATCAGAAGATGCTGCTTAAACAAACCTAAACATAGCTGAGTTAACAGAGGGTGGGACCACATAATCTGCTCTCTGAAGGATAGAAGTTGATGCATACTAACTGTATGAGGGCCCTCAGCTTCTCCCACAGCTGTGTGCTGTGCTGTAAGTATGTGTTTGTGTCATATCTCTCATATGAGAGAATAACGTGCATAAATAAGTGTATTTGGATGACTCCTGTGTTGCAGAGGTCTGGTTGTTCACAAACAGTGCACAGCAGGCACACTGAGTAATTATCTCATCATTTTTAAGTCATTTAAATTGTTTTGCAGTGCATCTCATGTAAAGAACTGGATCAGTAGACACACACTTAACATCACAGTTTCCTGTGATTCAAATCACTTCCAGTGTGAATCTTTTTGAGCTGGGAAGTGAAGAGTCATGGGCTGTGGGGGCAGCAGAACTGACGCTTTGGAGCCTCGCTACCTGGAGAGCTGGACAAAAGAGACGGAGTCGACATGGCTGACGAGCACAGACACAGATATCCCCTTGTCATCCATCCAGAGCATCCCCTCTGAGAACTCAGAGGCTGGCTTCACTTCTGAGAAAACAATCAGCCCTGGTAAGAAGAATGAATTACTGTATGGCTGAAGCAAGAT